GGTGGATCCATGGGGGGGGGGTACCAATCGTATTTACATAACTCTGCTTGTTGTGCATACTTGCAAAGCCGTGGTATGGAACGCATACGTTGCTGCCGTGGGGCCCTTCAGCTAAAGCGAAGAGTTGCGCAGTTGGAAAAGGAAAGCCCGATCAATTCTCAAGACTCAGAGCCATGGCCCGAGCTTCCCCTCACTGGGTTGACTCTAAGACCTGGTTACGGAGATATCTCGGGTACCTTAGCTAATCGTAGGCTGCTTTTTGGCCTAACAAAGGGAAGCACTACCCAACGGGAGTGCTAGATAGCCACCTGGTAAACTCCGTGGCCAGGAACCAACCCCCTTTGTCAATGTTGCTAAGGCTATTTGGATATTTGCCCAAAGCACTTTATGATTGACGAGGGACATACGTGCCTGCACCTGTGAGATTCGCGACGCTGATGATTTCACAGCGCTTCTCGCACATTGCTCTGAGACAGGGTTGCCTCTGGTCGTAGTGTGTCTATGAGGACCTTTGCTAAGGACCTGCCTAAGTGCCTTAAGGGCCTTACCCACCCAAGGTTTGGGTCACCAAGCAGCCGTAAGTCCAGCAGCAGGGTTATGTCAACGGGCACCGACCGGATAAGGGCGACTACCACGGCTGCTTGGCGACCACAAACTTTGGATCAGGTTCCGCAACATCGAGACCGAGAGCAATCGTGGCAATGTCATCACTTGGTGTGTTGTTATTCCAATAGGCACCGGAGTGCAGCCGGGCACACTCGTCAGCGCTGGCTTGTACTATACTGGGGTGGACCACTTCCTTAGCCACCGTCAAACCTACGTCGTGGGCAATGTCAGGGGCGGTTGCAAATGCATTTGGTGCCGACATGTGCCGACTTCGGCTTGAGCACAACACTGCCGTGGAGCTGGGCATGGGGATTACGATCGCCATGGTCGAGGCGGGATTGCTGGCCCTGCTGTTCATGGCCATGTCTGTCTAGGTCTCAGAGCAAACTGCAGTCTTCGAGGAGGGTCAAGAGCCAGCAGAGAAAAGACCGCGATCGCGCTTTCCCTACCAACGGTGCGAGGAGGAAGCCACTGTCAGTAAGAAACTCACTCGTTTTTGGTCGAACCGTGTTCTTGCGAGAGAACAGGCTGAGCCGGAGTTCAACGACACCCCAGATCCGAGTGCCTTGAGATAGGGGGAACGGCCTCCATTTGTGCAGAGGAGGATCGATGGATCCCGGACCAAGGAGTGGAACTTCTGTAAGCAGGGTTTTCAAGCCGCGATACCTATCAAGTCCAAGAGCTCTTAGATTCTAGATGCAGGCAACGCACCAAACTATCGACATGGGGTTGACAATGGAAACCAGACAATGATGCAGAATTCAAGTCCCGGGTGGTTTCATGTGGTAATTGTGAAAAGCTCAACGGAGGTGCGAAATGATGCACGGTAGCTTTGCAGATTCAACGGAGTGCGAACTGATGCACCTACGCCTTCAGATGCATGCACGGGTGGCAGCATTTGCATGGCGTACATGCCGAGTCTTTGGAACGCAGCGCCCATTTTTAGGCCTAGCCGGTTGACCGTATCGTCTCATGCGTCAACCGGCCTGTGGCCAGCTGTGTGCATGGAACCTGTGACAGCGGCCGAGGTTCTTGGAGTAAGGTTGACGGGAAGCTCGAGGTATAGGCTTTAATTTAACTTGTCGACGACTTCCTCTGGGCGTCAATACAAGGCGGAGGGTCTATCGCAGACCTGTTGCTCAGCAAGTTCGACCCTAGCCAGACCTGGCCGACGAGAGCACGGTAGGCTGCATTTTTGTCCAAAAAAAACTCGACCGTAGTGGCCACGCAACGATGCATGTATGGATGTTCACCGGAAATCGGAAGCGCCTGCCTGAGCAACAGCATAATCGTGTCCAGATAGAATTGAGCGCATCCAGGCAGTTCATCTTTGATGAGGACGGCGAGAGAACTACTCACACAGGCACATATACTGATACTTACATACGATTACATACGCAAGTACACCTACGTGCCTGCATTTCCTTAGAGTGCCGAGTCACCAACATCACCAACGTATGTCCTTGCGCAGATGGAAATTCCCCTGCATCATGCTCGGACTGAATGCCGCCGCAGTTACTAGTGAACAACATAAATGCTAGTGTTCAGAAGTGGTGCTGGCTCGCAAGCGAGCCCCACCCATCCCTACAAGCTCAGGTTGTCAAAGTGGCTTCCCGGCATTCCGCGCTGCATCCGCTCGTCGAGTGTTTTCACTAAAGCCGCGCCATCCCGCCCTGACAATGCTTTGTGGCACGTAACCCCGTTTGGGCACGAGGGAACGGTCACCTCCGTAAGAGTTTGTCCCGGGATTAAAGAGAAATCCTGTCATCCTTGAATGCAACCTTGTCGACCTGTGCGTCGTCCCAGGTTGCAGGCACGTAGTGCATCGAGTGTGGCATCCCTCATTTTTCGGAGGTTGATTGGAACGGAACATTTGGAAATGAACTGCGGAGTTCCTTGCCTTCCGGGCAACGAGTGTGGGCTTGTGCGCGACAAACCGAATGCCATCAGTGATCTCAATCAAAGGCACCTGTACAGTCGTGTGCAGACCATAGTGCCACGCACCGGAATTTGCTTCAATATCATGTAGCCCGAGGTGGGTCTGCACGTAAGACTCATCGCGGGCGACGACCATCGAGGTCCATATCATGTCCTCTGTGTCGTTCGGGGTCTGTGGGCCTGCGGGATCGATCAAGTCCAACACCTTGAAACTGAATAGAACATAATAGAACAGGATTTTGACAGCTCTTGACTGCTTACAGCCAAACTTGACAGGGCTAGTTACTGCTAATTCCATGACCATATTCGGCAGCATGCAATTTCGTTCGGTGTCCGAAACATCCCGAAACAAAGGAGGTCAAAGCAGCGCAACAGGCTGGTAGCGAATGTCGCACCATGAAAGATCAATGTACCACGGGTGGAATCATCGAAGATTTTCTGGAGGTCGCGATTCAGGCATCAAGTAAACCAAAAAGCATCCGCTTCAGGCTTGTCCCAACGGCATCCGACAATCATCTGTCAGTATACATGAAATACATTCAACTTGCACGTCCGTCCTAGGTTAAACATTTGCGCGCAAACGCTCTGATTCCTGTCTGCGAGCGCAGTGCCTGCTCATTCGAGCTCGCAAAGGTACCGTCCCCTGGCTGCGTACACGCAGGCGGCCAGCATCTGCACCTGCTGACGCAGTAGCCTCAAACGCCACGTGTGAATTTGATCGTCGTCGCCAAAGCTTCTGTCATGTCTAAACTCGCAAGGCGCGAAGAGAAGACACGTCCACGCTGACAACCTCCAGCTGGAACCTCTGACACTTCCCGCTGCACACGGAAGCCGAGAGTTAGGCATCTTAAAGGCATTCAGAACAGATTTCCACGAGAAGTATTGGACAATGCCTCCCAGAGGGTGAGAGAATGTGTTCAACTGGCGCTTGACATCGGTGACCTATGGTGACGTATGGCTCGCGTGAGGCACCTCCCGGGGCAGCGCAGCACCTGCTCCAGCACGTGGCTTCAGGCAGACAGCCGCAGGATGTGAGTTGAGTGCATTTGAGCAGTGCAGCGAACTGATGTTGTACCGCCGCTTGACAGTTTCGGCACCAGCAAGCGCCTGCCGGACCACCATGAAGATACGCCTGGCGTTTCGTGCTCCTGCACAACCGGCTTTAGCTTGCGCCACAGACTGCTACAGACGTGCTAGCTGCTTTGTTCCGAGAGGAGTTTGCATGACCTGCAGAAGTACCTGCAGAGCATTTAGCCAACCACTCAACAGCACTATGACAGAGGCGATGGATCCAGCAGGTCCTGAACAAAAGATGTTATGGATGAATTATATAAGTTTAGTCAGGCAAGTTCAAGCTTCCTGCAAGGGAGCCTGCGTTCTCTTCTTGCGGGTACAGGCTCGTTCAGGAGCTGCAAACTTTTCTGTGTTCAAAGCAGGTATGTTCCCCCCTCAACGTTGCGACCGCGCTCGGCTTCGCAGCACCCTTAAGCAGCAAGCGGCAAATGACACAGACGGTGACTCCTGTTCGGCACTGCTGGAAGCCCGAAAATTCGGACTCATATACCTGGCATCATAAATTGCTTCCGAGTTCGGCGGCCCTTACAGCAGGTTGCGCCCACAGAGTTTTCGTTTGTGTTTTGATCTGATTTAACCAGGAGGAGCAGCCCACCAGCTTTCTATTGGCAATTTGTATGTCCGCTTGAGAGTTGAGCTGGTGATGAGATGATAAGGCGTGTGTTGCGTTGTTTGTGTTGGTGTCACCTGCAACTGCGTGCTGTGACAAGGGACAATGGTGTTGGCTGGCCTGAGAAACTTCAGGTTGTGCCACGACAAGACTCGCCGCACGTTATGAGATTCGAGCCTACTCCGAAGCGTTTGCAGCATCTTCATTTGTGTCAAAGGGGCATTTTTCAAGAAGCGGCTCCAAGTCGCTTGTTGGCAACTTCAAGTAACCAATGTGGCCAACCGAAGAAAGTTGAAACCTGGTATGTCTCAGCCCAGGAGTTGAACAGTATTGATTTCGTTTGAAAGCGCCGCAGTCAGTGCTCATCCACTGCACTCCCCATGAGTATTCTGTTGAGCGATGCCTTCCAAGCAGATGTCGTTCATGAGAAGTTGTTGTCATGCAGGCAGGCAAATGTGGCTAGCCACCTACTGTTGCCCTTCTCAATTCATAGCTTTATTTCGGAATTTCCTGGGTCAGGAAACAATATCTGCAGAGGTGCCCCTCGCAAGTCCACTTGCTCACTTGCTCCAATCGTGTGATGCAGCATCGCCGTCGGGAGTGCGGCTGTCACATGTGCTTCTTGTCCAATGAGGTGCCTGAACGGCCATCGTCCAGAGGAAACGAAGCTGGAGCTCAGGCCACAAGTGACGACGAATTATGAAAAATCCGGCGTGGCTGTTTGATAGTTATTCGGCTCATAGATTCTTTATGTTCTTGGCATCGATGCATTCCTTCCGGTATGTGCAACAGCATGCAGTCGCATGTGAGCTGGCGTTGCTCGTTTCGAGGCCCGATCCCCACACGTAGCAGCCTCAAGGTTTACTTAGCGTCTGTGAGGAAAGGTTTCAATCAGGCAGTCTTCATTTGCGACTGCGTGCGGCCATTGCACAGTCCCACTGAGGTATGAACCTTCGAAGCCGTCCTCTGCACGAACCGTGCCTTGATGGCATTTCCAATTGAGCCGCGAGCTGGTTCCTGTTTCCCCGGCAGTACGGGTGAACCTGCTGCAGCTTTTCCTTCAAGTGGTTGCATTGGCCGTTGGCAGGGCACGCATGCTATTGCATGCTACTTGAAGGTTTTGCCATGAGTCCGGCAGTTGCAACAGCATCCACAATTATTCACCACGGCAGGCAACAGGCAAAACGTGGTGCATAGCAGGTGTGGCACACCCATACATAGCCATAGTCTATCAGAGTCGATCTGAGTAGGCTGGAGGGCAGGGCTTCTGCTTGTGACCCGAAGTCGGGCCATGCGCAGCGATGTTGCATTTCCGCTGACTTCAGATGCCAGTTGGGCTAATCATGACACATCATGACACGTGCGTCTAATCACCTGTCCAGTGGCATGCCAGGGAAGGGCCTGGATTGTGAGAGCGATCACTAACAATGTGAAGTGAGTTCCTTTCCTGCTCGTTGTGCTCAAGCCTCTGCAAGGTGCGATTCGGAAGTGCCCAGCGCAGCTTCTCGGAGCCTGGCAGGCTCGGGGCCTGCGGGTCGAGAGAAGGTACCACCGTGCGTTCGTATACGTTTGTAAGGATGGGTCAGGCTGCGAGAGGTTTCGTGGCTCCCGCGGGCGCGGGGGGCTGTCCACCCACGGCTGACTACTCCATGTAGACTTCAGTACTTTGTTTGGCGCTCACATGTTTGGTGAAACGTGCTGTTGCCAGAGTGCGGTGCGTATTTTGTGGTGGTCTACCTGCGCCACCAAGCCGCTTGACGTCTTAAAATCGCCATCGAGCTGTATGTATTACAAAATGTTGACTGAGAGTCGAGTCTAAGCTATCGTTACACGATGTTGCACGCCTCGAGGGGCAAATATAGCCAAGACGCACGACAGCGCGGTGTCATCAATTGTTCGTTTCTGTGTGATCGAGTTTTGCCGCGGAAGGACTTCTTCTGCGTTGGGGCCAGGCAGACTGCAATGAGTGTTTAAGGGTGTTCTCTGGGGGCTCAGTCTCTTGAAGCAGTATCACCATGCGTGGTTCTTTTGTCGATAAAGATGCGCAAAGTTCTGGACCCCTGCGTGCACTCCAATGCTGGCTCGGATTTGATACGTTCTGATGCATGCTCGCACCGAACGCCAGGAACGTATGCAGTCACACTGCCTGAACGGCATGTAAAATGCCACCGGATTGCTTCTTCGCCCACCAGGCACATGCGTTTGCCAGACAGCCTTGGTACCTCGCAGTCTAAAAGTATAAAATCTAATTGTTAAGTCGGGTGCCTCAATGAAGTGAGTAGTTGCCATAGTGCATCGAGGCTTGGGGATGGGAAGAGGCGATCCTTGTCATAGCCGTGCGCCTCACCCGCCAATCTGGGCAGTTCCTTTTGTGCCAGCTTAGGTTGCTGGAGAAGTGACAGAGAACAGCACAAGGTCAAGTCCAGCTTCTATTCTATTCAATGAACCAGCCGTGTCTTCAGCAAAGTCCTTGTTTTGAGGCTGTCTGGCTTCGGACAGTTCGAGGAGCCTGGTCCCGGGGTTTGCTCCTGAGAGCAGACTTTGCCTGTACCCTCACTGGTTTGGGTCGCGCTTAATAACTTATTCAGCAGGTCTCGAGCCTCTTCGCCTTGCAGAGAGAGAGAGGGTCGAGCATGACATTCTGAGGGGTAACACTATTAATATATAGTATTGGGACAAGGGATGTGATCCTGTGAACATGGTTTCACAATCTCCTCAAAGCCCCATAGCAAATCGGGGGGCATGTGGCCGGGGATCTCGACAGTCCCCCAAGCTCCGCGGAAGATGACTCGGGACTGGGCGAGCCTCAGGAGAGACCAAAGCCCGGGCTTTATCCTCATGCTCCATTGGGCTCGGGTATTTTGTAGTGGCCTTCGCTCTTGTTTAGGATGGGCGATGATGGGCGTGTGACAAACACTCGACCGCCGGATGTACATAACCCGAAACATACCCCTTCGCATTGCTGCGTAGAAGCATTCATAAAAACGCTAACCTTTCAAACGTCTTGAAAACCAACGCAAAACATAGCCCCGAGACAAGCCGTCGTGGGGACCAACATTAACGCCAACGCCCATGTCGGCATCAGAATGAAAGCCACGCAAGCATAAACAAACGAGCTCGGAACGATTTGCACACATTTGCAGTCCAAAGTGTCTTTTCCAATGCGACCGGGGGGTCTCGGAGCACAGGGAGGGAGAGCTACGCTGAGGGCACAGGCTCAAAATCCGCATGTAGGATCCTGAGACATACGAAGTGCTCTGCCGCTTGCTAGGCTTACGACCCCACGATGCCATGGGTACGTGGCGGAGGCACCAGCATCCAAGAGTTCCCTTGCAAGTTGCTTGTTCCCAAAAACCCCTCGGGGGTTCTCCTTCAGATCTTCCAACCGCATGGGCCGCGATATGGGGTGCGGAGCGGGAGCACAAGCATTTAGAGTCTTCGGCGTCCGATGGGTCCGCCGGGCGGCGACGCGGGGCGGCGTGGCTCATGCGTGGGCCGGGGCTATTCCGCCGGGCAGCTTACGGGGTGCGGCGCTGGGGCGCGGTGCGGGGCCGCTGAAGTATGCTACACTTGGAAGAAAACGCTTGTGTCACGCTTTGGATGGTTTTTGGGTTCCGGGTGGACCTTGTTTTTTGCAGTATTGGCAGTGCCTTCCAAGCGAAGGCAACCGCACAACCTTTGCAACAGCGCACGGCCCCTAGACTCACACATGTTGCAGTGTCGGGAAGCTTGAATTACATGCTTTTTGCTGCCGATGTGCCGGAAGTGTTCATCCAAGCTAATGGCGGTCTTGCACAATGACACCCGATTGCACGTGCTGTCGGGCCTCCGGTTGGCAGTGGGTCTCACTAGGTCCAGTCATGCTTCGCGAATATTCCATGCGTCTCAAGGCCAAGAGAGCCGAAACAGCAAGACCACAGTCACCTGAGTGGGGAGCGTGACTGGCTTAGTGTTTGCTCCTGGTGCTGGTGGTGTTTCATGTAAGCTTCAGCTCTGTCGCCTTTCGGCTGACTGCTGGACAACGAGGTCGGGCACAGATCATCCGGAGCTTCTTTCGAGCCGGAGGGTAACATACTGAGTGTACTCGGAACACTGTGTCATTCGGCATCATAAACAAGCTGACTTCGCTTGCTCGTTTGAATGTCGCATGCATTTCGGCAGTGTCATTAAAAGCAGTGGAAGGCATCTGTTCCTTCATGGAATACGTGTGTTCAGAAGAAAGCAACATCCGCAAGCGCTAGCTGCTAGCTGTTCTCTGGCAGCACCACGGCTGCATCAATGCGCCGTGGACCACGGCTTCCACCTCGGCGACTCGCATCAAAGTGTGGAGCACTCAGAGAGTGCCGCTTTTCCACACAGAGCCGGGGCCTGGCGGGTCACCGACAGAGGCGCCTTCAAGGCCAAGGCCTGCGAGTCGGGACCCGGTGACCCAGCCGCAGGTGCCGCTGCTTTGCTTGGCCCCGATGTGGCCGCAATGCTCTTGAACAGGGCATCATCCAAGGAATTCCAAGGTGTTTCTGATGTTGATGCCCATCTGCCCTCCCATCGTGGTCCTGAAAATCGTTGAATCTCTGATCATCTCTGATCTGCCAGTGGCAACAGACAGCTGCAGGCCCAGGCACTTTCGACCTCCGGGGCAGAGGTGTGCCACAGAGTGCAGAGCTTCACAGCACAGTATGCCACGCTTTTTGTCGTGTCGTGTCTTGATGGCGGTATCTTTTGCAGCTTGGAAAGTGACGTTACAGGCAGGAGTTCTAGATTCTGGGTCTTGTTCGCTGCGCAGCCACCGTGGAGCTGTCACGCGAAGCCCTCACCGAAACAATTGTTTAATCCTAGGGCTCTGAAACGGCAGCCATCGCATGACACGGCAGGAGAATTAACAAATTTGCACGCAAAGTAAAATCAATGAAGTTGGATTGAACGGCATTGCATGACCACGCTGAGCCAAGCCACATACAGCCGCCAAACCATCGCAGCCTTGCAGAGTTGCTACACGTGTGGCTTGTAGGTGTTGCCCTCAGAAACGTCGTTGCAAAGTTGCAAAGAGACACCGTCTTCAAATGGCCTGCAGTTCGATCGCGGAGCGAGGCCTCACGATGTGATGGGGCAGGGGCGGCAACAAAGGCACTCCCGGAAGTGTCCTTGGATTGTCGCTTCCGGAGAAGGAGCTGTCAATGCTTGCCTCACACACGCATCAGATGAGTTGCAGAGGCCGCAATCGGAAGCAGACTCTGGGGCCGTCGGCTCAGCGTGCAAAAGACTCGAATTGTACTAGGCAGCATGGTCCACAGACAGAACAGCTTTCTGCTGAACAGTTGCTGAACCTTACCGTTAGTGACGGGTAGTGCTGTCGTGTAGATGTTGCTGGTCTTTAAGGTCGGTAAGTCAATGCGCGGCACGCAGGCCAGAGCAAGGAAAGAGGAAAGTGTCAGCCGCAGCAGTGCCACGCGCCGGAAAGAATGGCCAGGCCCAGCACAAGCCACAGCGCAGCAATGCCACGGCAGGCCCTGGGAAGATCTGCAAACTCTGCAAACACTGAGGGAAGCGGCAGCATCTACGTCCTGCAAGGCCATGGTACCCTTGGTCGGACTGGAGCTGCCGTCCTCCGAGAGGATCGGAACGCGGCCAGGCAGGAGCCATTTGTTCTTGTGGAGGGAAAGCTCTGCAACTTTAGCTCAAGCCTCTCTTTCGCCTAGCCCCATGCTTAGTCCCAGAAGAATGCACCAAGTCCTTGAAAGAACCCTAAGCTGCCCAGTTCGGCTCAGCGCCACTTCGCGACCATGCCGGCAGCGGGCAAGGTCACAGAGCATAGCATCTCTTTGCCTTCTTGCTTGCCATCCGCTTTTGGCTTTCGCTGCGTTGGTCTCCTATGGTCTCCTGTTGGAATGATTTGCTGCACTGTCACCGCACGGGAGGCCAGTGGAGCTCGAATGCACACCCCACCAACTCAGGCAACGGTTAAGTGACAGAGTCACATCGCCTCACACGTTGTTCGTGAGGTTCGAACTTGAAGCCATCCGAACGCTAGGCCGCAGGTGCAGCAGCCACCGTGCGCCCGGGGGGCAGGCATCTGCGTGCAAGCTGGTGGAATACAGCGTATAAGAAGTTGCTGCCTCTCTTGCAGCATCTTTTGTGTGCCCAGTCCTCGAAACAGGAGGGATGCAGAATTGGAGGGAGATGAGAAGGCTCATCATGCCTTTCGTGCTGTCTAGCTTGCATATGCTCGCACGCTCACCATGGCATTTTCTGAACATTATACGGCAAACGGAGTCAGCCGCCCTCCGAGTTGCCGGAATCTATTCAACCAATTGAGATGCGACAGGGGTGCTGAGTTGTTGTGTGAACAAGGCGGACAACACCGTGCGTCGACAGCCACGGGAAGTGCCGCGCTGGTACAGTGCTCCTTGGTTGGCAGCTTCATTCTGCCTTCTGTGCGCACAGTATGCCGTGGGTATCCGTGGGTGCTAGCCTACTTCAATCATACAAACAGGTTATCTTCTCAAGAAGGTATCATGTGCCTTTGTTTAAGGCTTGTGAAAATAATTCGCATGATTTGGAATGATTATTATGAATGACCCTGAATGATGTTGAGCTTTTTGGAATTATTCTGAATGTTCTGGAATGAATGTTTCTGAATGATTTGGAGTGAACACTGCAACCTTAGTTTCCTAAACACCCTACACTCCCTACACCCCACATTCTAAGCCGTACAGCCCAAAAAATCTGCACACAAGCTCAGGGCCTCCCGTCAGTCCGAAAGCCAGGGTTCAGGGTTGAAGGTTTGCGTTGGAATGGAAGTCCGAAAGCCAAGTCCAAGAGGATTCGGTTTTTGGCGTTTACGCCTCTGGAGGCAAGGAAACCAAAAGTCCAAAAACCAAAAGGTTTTAGCTTTAAGGGCTAAGCAAACCTGGTGGCCCGAAAGACAGACAAACACCAGTCACAAGGAGTCAGAAACAAGCGTTGTGTCGGGACTGGAGGCCCCGACATACCCAAAAATACCAAACGAATCCAAAGACTACCAAAACATGCAAAAACACAAACACATAGCAACAAAGCTTGCAGCTGGATTGCGTGCTTGTGTTTCCGCTAGCCTTCTTGGCGAAAGGAAATGCTGCCCTTTTTTCCCCAAGTGCCTTGGCTGTGGCTATGAACCATCAGTGTCCCAAACTCGAAGTCATAATAAACCTTCACCTCATGATCGACGACACAGACTCTTGCAACCCGGATGCCGTGGCAAGCCCTTGCTTCGTTTATGCTTCAGTTTGCGCATTGCTCTAGCAGCCTGTCACTGTCACCTCAAAAGACTCGAGCCGGCTTGGCCCTGGAGTCAGAACACATGCACACATGTACACTCAGGCACGGGTTGCAATGTTGGCAAAGGTTTTCTCACACACAGAAGTCGAGGCGTTGGGGTAGTTTTTGAAGTTGTTGGAATGAGTGTGTCTGCCTTTGAAAAGGGCCTGTCAGCAGACGTTTGCCTGTTATTCACCAGACAAAACAGTCCTGCTTGAACCGCTCTATCACGACGATTGCAGGGTGGGCGAGTTTCAGGTACCCGACATTGGGACAGAAATGTAGCGCCCATAGGGCTTGAAGAGTGCTTGAAGTATTCTACCGATGTGTTGGGGTGCAATGTACCATTGCTGGATCACCGGTCTAAGAGAATAGGACTGCTAGGACGATCCACATTCACCTTTGCTCGATGCCCAACGAACGATTTTCGCGTCCAGTTTTGTGGCATCTAGTCATCTCAGGTTCAAAGCCAAGGAGCCTTGTCACAGCTTGCCGCCGTCGAAGTTGAGGCATGCACATGTTACGTTCTCTGTGTCCTGAATGATCGGCACTGCTGTCCCTTCACATCTCATGTTCCCTCATGTTCCCTCTAAGCGGCTGAAATCAGTGTTAGCAATTGTGTGATGAGACTGAAGGTGCACTCCGTGCAACTCCGTGACATTCTCAGAAAATCTCAGAAGTTTTGATTCCATGACCACTCCTCATCATGTCGTGCTTCTCAGGTGTGGAGGAACTAGCTGCTTTGCCCTTGGACAGTGAGGAACTGGCGACTGGCACATGGTAATACATTCTGCAGCCACCAGGTGCTTGGTCTATGTTGGTTTTCCGCAAGCGGTCTGTGATGACCCTGATCCGCAAAAAAAGGAAGGTTTCTGAGGCATTCTTCACCCAGACCGGGGCTGTTCTGCCAAAACAGACTCGTGGTGATCGCGGTGATGGTCCACAGGATAGTTCCTCGGAAATAGTGATGGTCAAGTAGCTGCACAAGCACCGTACCTATCACTGGCACCACACTTTGAGAGCCGCCTTTGGAGCGAATCGCCTCAAGTCTCCGGACCTAGCGACACTCCGGAGCATCGCTTCATTGAGAAATAGCCCGCGGCCACGTCACTTGCAAGGAGGTGCCCAACAAAATGGCAGGCATGCCATCAGGAGCGCGAGATCTGCATCGCGGCATCTCCTGGCTTGGGAGCGAAGTTGCGGTCCCCAGACCCAGAGATGCTCAAGCTTCGCAGTCTGAAGGCGAATAAGGAGATAAACTGTCACCTGCCAAAAGCTTCAAGCAGATTCCAAGGAGGAGGCCTGGCAGGACAACTGAACTACTGCGTAGTGAAATAACCCGCTCCTCCACCAGTGCATTAACGGTGCGGGTTTCTTGGTGGGTGGAACGATGAGGGGCGCACACGAAAAATGATGCAAAAATGCAGGCTGGGAGGAGAGTATGGAGTGCAACAGTACCCATGTTTCTGTGCAGGCAGTTTGGTGAACAGTCTTGTGTGTGGTTATAGATCGAGGCGGTCAAGAGGATGCAAGAGGTCAGCAGTTCTGCCAGACTCCGACATCGTTCAATGCTGTAGAACTTAGCAACGGTTTCTTCTGTTCCGCCATGTTCCGCCTTACACGGTTACACAATTAGTGGATGTAGCACGACAGGGACAGGACAATACAGGACAGTGAAGGGTACAGAAAAGTCCTAGCTTGCGCCGGTCCCTGTCCCATGGCTCGCCTGGCTCGAGCGCTGCAGCTGCGAGGCGAGACGAAGGCCCTTCGCCCTCTTGTGCCTATGCTCCATGAGAGGCCCGGGACTGCGGCACTCCTCGGTGGCTCCGGTGTGGCCTCTGGAGGCCTCAGTTTCGTGCTGTCCACAGCCAGAGGGCTCAACAAGGGCGGAGCACGGTGGAGGCTAAGCCCTGGCAGGTTTTGGCTTTTCGTTTTCCGGCAAAGATTGAAATGTCCAACAAGATGGCCTTCGGGATCTTGCTGTTGAGCACGTGTGCTTTGAAACATATCCTGTGGCTGCCGCCGCATAAAATCTTGGAAGTATTGTAAAATTGCAGGCGCAAGTCCCTAAACATGCTGCGAGTATCAGTGTCAATGCGCTTGCCAGCCGCTGCACCGGTTCTCTGATGTTCTCCACGCAGCAGTAAACAGATTGTCAGCCGCTCGATCAGGTAGACGCAAGCATCTCTGTAACTTGGCATGGAGTTCAAGCCTACTATGACTCGTTGCAAAGGCTGTGCACGTGAAGATGCAAACCTGCAGATTGCGTAACAGTTTGAACTTTGTCAGGCCGCCGTCTCTTGGTGGTCTGCCAGTTTTGTCCGGCATGTGACATCATCATTGTTGTAT